GTTGTCATACAAGCCATCAGGTTTACACTTGATATGTGCTGTGAATTATGAAATTTGACCAGTAGTTTGAAGATGTGGCTGAAAAATAAAGATTATAAAATAAAATTAATTTTAAGCTAGCATTATACTTTTTTATTGAAAATGTTTGGATCTGCAATAAAAAGTACCAATTGAATAGTGAACAATCTCACACCTAACCTGGTGTCATTATAGACCTCACAATTTAAATGCTGATGACCAGGCTTAAGATATGAGGTCAAAATGTGGGACTCAATTGTATCTATAGTATGATGGCTATCTCACTTTATAGAACTTGAGACTTTTGCCACAAAAAATATACAAGGGATATATCCATAAGGGAATTAGGGAAGGGAACTCTGAATTAAGCAAATTGCTTAGTTTCAATTTTAAGCATGATGTTTCCTTCAACATGGCCCTAATTAGTGAGCACTGTGTTGTATACTTATCTCACTTAAAAAATGGTCTCTAACTGTGGGATTTCAACATAGACATTGGTACATTGAGTACACCACCAGTTTTATCCATAAGAGCACATTAACTTTGCGTATGTACAAATAGCTTAAAACTCATTTGAAAATTATGTTTTGACTGATGATCTGGAGGCCAATTTACAATTCTAGAGGTAAATAATGATAAGAATAAACAGTTTTTATTATTTTTTCACTTTGTTCAACATGATGAAGTTACACATCTTCCTACCGAATAAGTTTTAAGGAGAGTATTTCATGATTTACAGCAGCATAGCAGTGTTTATTACTGCCAGTCCTTAGACAGTCTTGAAATTTCCAATAAACTATTTATTACCATAATAAACATTTAAAAGATACTCACTCAGATTCCTCTTCGAGAGCTTTTCTATTGATAAAAGGAACATCTGATGGTAGACTATCCAAGCTGGATTCAGCATCAACAATGTCACCGGGACTTTGCCGGAGCACAACCTCTTCCAGGAACTTAATGGAATGCGTTCTGATACCTTCATTCTCACTGTCGATCATGTTTAAAACCATCAACTGTAAAATGTTTTGTATAATTTAACATTGTGACATTTCCATGACTTATTATAATGTATAGGATATTTTTTACTTTTAAACATACAAATTACACAATATGTGCAAATAAAAATATTTCTGTGTCTAGAAATATATAAAATTGAACTTAAATTTTAAGATCTATTCAGATTTCTTACATACAAATTAAATTACAAACAATGTAGTCCAGGGAAGTGAAGGACTGCTGACAGTAAATCAAGCATGTAGTATTACTATTCAGAAATAAAAATAATAATAACTTAGTTCAGTATTTTATGATCAGATTTATCTGAACTGAATGTTGAGTATGTATTTCATTAGAAAAATTGGTACCCGCCTGGGTTTCAAACACCCGTGCATCACTCAACACAAATGCACCAGACGTCTTTATCCTTTAAGTCACGACGACTTCATCAATTCAATAATAATTATTATAGTAACCACATGCGCCAAGCCTGCATGCACTCCACGCTCAAGTGCTGCTTTGCTTTCAGCGAAATCTGCTTGTGTTTAATCCTTAACACCTCCTCCTATCTACATCCCCTACAGACTTCATGTGACTATTCTCATTGAATTGCTGCCAAATACACAGTTAACTGCTGGGAACGTGTTATGAGCTTCTTCAGACACATCATGCGGTCCCCCAGACATGAATTAGATATGCTCATAATTACGGGTCGCATAGAGGGCAAGCACGCCGTGTGCAGAACATCAACCAGATGGTCAGATCTAGTAAGAGAAGCACTTTGTGGTAGTCTGTACCATGCAATCCATGCCACCCATGATCGAGCACAGTGGAAGTATGTCGCATGTGGTCGCGATCCTCAGTAGTGAGGGAACGATATAGAAGAGACATAATAAATAATAAATGTACAACTATGCTTACCTTTAATTCAGTTAAATGTTCCCATACATGTTTCATTTCAGATACTTCAGCGTCACCTTTACAGATCCACATTAACGTATTACGGTACAGTATACTGGCTGCTTGGATGGCCCTCTTCTGCACCGCAATGACTGGATCAAGGAGTAGGAGACGCAACTGAGCGACGATCTTGGGAAGAAGTTCAGGATGACTTTTACTGTAATATTGTAGAAATGTTTTGTTGGTGTTAAACTAAGACTATATTATGCTCTCATTGCCTTCGATAGCAAAGAGTTTGACTTGTACTGTAACTTTTTTCTTTATACTTTAGGTTTTTAAATGTCATGAAAAAATCCCTTGTTCAGTCATAGTTAAATACTAAGAGCTCCAATGAATGGACAATATAAATCCATGACCATATCAATCTGTACAGTTTCCTTTTCACAGGTATCAACATTGTTTGGTTAGGATTTGTTTATTATTTTTATTAAGCCTCCTTTTGAAACAGAGAAAAGGTATGTTTGGAAAATAGTTTTAAAATTACAAATGCGAGAACAGCAGTACTAATTCAAGCTGTTGATCATTATAGTTGTTTAATTATGAAGCATGGTATTTGATAATCACCTCAACTCTTCAACAAAATACGCGACCTGCTTCTTTACGTCTGTATTTTTATCGCTGATGTAGCTTAGTATATTCTCCATGTATACTGGAATCATTTGCGAGCCTTGATGTAGCAGAACTTCTATGACTTTTCTCAATAAGCCTGCTTTTTTGTTTCCTTCCGCCATTCCAGTATCGTTTATCCATCGTATTAGCTGAAATTATGAATTTAGGATATAAAAAATTGAGTGTGTGATATGGGATCTGTGTTAATTAAATATTAAAAACGGAGGAAAACGAAATAAAAATAGCGAACTTATCATGTTTTCTAAGACGCTAACGAACCTGATTTTGTACTGTAGTATTAGACGTGTGTCCGTGTTTATTCGACATTCTGTATTGTTCATATAATAAACAATTCCATTTATTATTTTATTTACAATATTTTGCAAAATTTTCAACGTAAGAAAAGGGCATCAAGAAATACGGTGATTATCAAAATTTGCACCGATTCTTAAATACACAGATTATTTTAATAGTTACCACGTAACATAAATATGTGTGTTATCTATGACAACGATTCACAAAACTCTTGGACTTTTGGCGGGAGCGCGAGGAGTGAATTTGTGTGATTGGTTTTATTTTGTCTATTTAGTGTTTTTTCAGGTTTAAATGTGTAATAACGGTGGTTTATTAACTGTTTAATATCTGTGAAAGTACACAAATATGAGAAAATGAAGCAAAGCCGCTGGACGTAACTTCTCGGGATCCTCAAAAAGTCCACTGAAAAAGCTCAGTAAACGACCACTATTTTACTGAGATTATATTTCATCCGATATCATCTCATTTAATTTAATTGCATCCCAGTTGATTAATGTCTTAAATTAATCATCTTCATTTCTTTTAATTTCACTCCATATGAGTCGTCTATTATCAAAGGTGGCAATCTGTGCATTTGGACAAAAAAATGTTATTGATATGTCAATACAGATTGATTTGAATATAATCGTCTCCTTCAAAGAATACGGTTCAAAACCTGCATTAAATAAAGGTTAATACTTAACCTGTTATTTAACTAAGATGTCGTTCAGAAGAGTTTTGTGACTGCCAATGGAATACAAAGTCAATAATTCGTTTTTCTGATTTACCAATAATTGTCCAAAAGTCACATTGCCTGCTTTGATAATAGTCGACTCATATTATCATTTTTCAAAAAAATAAGAATATAAAATAAAATAAGACATGACTTAAAGGTCTTAGTTACCAGGTCGTAAAATCCCTTATTATTTTTTTGTCAATTTGACTTTGAAAGATGTTCTCGGGATTCTACAGAAAGTCCAGTGAAAAACTCTCAGTAAATTACTACCATTTTACTGAGATTATATTTCATCCCATATCATCTCATCTCATTTCATTTAATTTCTTCTCAGTTGATTAATGTCTCAAATTAATCATCTTCATTTCATTTCACTCCATATTATCATTTTTCATAAAAATAAGAATATAAATTAAATAAGACTTGACCTAAAGGTCTTAGTTAGCAAGTCATAAAATCACTTAAAAAAAGATGTTTTTTGTCAATTTGACTTTGAAAGATGTGGGTTTTGTGTTTCTGTCAAATATTTCTTTTCTTGTCAAGTTTCTGTCAAGCAAAGCACTTTTCTGTTTGGTCCGTTATTAAACCAATTAAAATCTAACTTAAAGATCCAAATCTAAATTATCACTAACTGATAATAGTCTATTTTTGCATTTATTTCAAAAACACAGACAAATGGCTTCGCCAGTTACTATGTTCATCCATTTTTATTTCATGCGCACAATGTTTAAGATTATTTATAGTTAAAATGAGAAATATAATCTACAAAAAATGTTTATGGTATATTAAAAAACATTTTTATATCGACAATCGTAGATGTTGGCAGTCCTTTGGACATCAGATCTACCAAAAACTGTGTGCTTAGTACATCATATTTATTCATTTAATTTGATATTAACTTTAGTGTTGTTTTAAGAAATACTTAAAGAAAATAATCCCGAACAGAAAAACAGAAGTCTCAGTGTGCTTAATGCAAGTTTTTTAACGTTCTCGATAGCGTAAAAGTTAACTTTGTATGGAGTTGGAACGTTTGCCTATGTTTGCCGCTAGGGGCGCTGTTCGGGATTATTTTCTTTAAATATTTCTTAAAACAACACTAAAGCTAATAATATCAAATTAAATGAATAATTATGATGTAGGTACACATGTGTAACAGATTCTGATATCCTATCCTTGAAAATGCAGCGCGTAACTACTTTTCTGAAAAGGAATAGAGGATGTTGCTAACTGCAGTGGGTTCACCAACCACCAGTATAATGACATCGCTTTTTTGAATAAAGTTATGTAAAATAACATTTCGATATACAGTAGTAATACAAAAAAAATCGAATCTGATCTTTTTAAAGCATATATTATACTAGAAAATAATACAATAATTAAATTAAATGACACAATTTATAAAAAACATTATTTATCTTAACTTACATAATATACATAAGTGGGCATTAATAATCATTTATTTAAGTAAAAAGTGCATTTTAACTGTAGGCAGATGGTATTCTTCCCGTGATATATAAACTCTGCATTTCATAAGTCTTTGGCTTGTTCTCTTCCTCCAATTCCAATGTTGTACTTTTCACAACAATCGTACAGATAAACAAAAAAACTGTGAAGGAAAAAAAAAAGCGGGCTAAATTAAAATGGCCGCAGTTTTGTGACGTTAAATTGCAAACAGTCATTGCTAAAACTATTATGACTTTTTTCAATTATTTTTTATTGTTTATTTGGGATTTCATAACGTGTTTTTATTTTTGCTACGTAAATTGTTTAATTAAGTTATGGCCTACATGTTGTTAAATGATTACCAGAATCCATTGACATTGATTGTGATTCCACCATGCATCTAGAAACATGAGGTCGAAACCCCATAGAACCTCATAGAAAGCTGCGGTCATTCTCCGGCAATTCCCGCGGATTAGTCACGAGAAGAGATGGAATGGTGCTATTTAAGACCACACAGTCAATTTTTTTTTTTTTTTTGCTTAGATGTGTAGACGAGCTCACAGCCCACCTGGTGTTAAGTAGTTACTGGAGCCCATAGACATCTACAACGTAAATGCGCCCCCCCCACCTTAAAATATAAATTCTAAGATCTCAGTATAGTTACGGCTGCTCTACCCTTCAGACCGAAACGCACCTATCCGCGCGGACTTACAAGACGTCCTACCACCAGTAATTACGCAAATTATAATTTTGCGGGTTTGATTTCTATTACACGATGTTATTCCTTTACCGTGGAAGTCAATCGTGAATCGTAAAGGAAGATTTTCAATAGGCAATGCAGATCAAAAAGCAAAAGGTAAATAGGTTCGATAAAATACCTATGACAGTAAGTTTAAAAAAAAAAGTCAATAGCCGTCAAAGTACTTATTACCTACGTTAGTTGGAATACTTACAACTCCAAATTAGCAACAGTATAGCTGCTATGAAGCCCAAAAACACACACGACACTACAACCATAGCAGCAGCCAATACTAGTAAATATAACGCAGCTTTAAAGTAAATTCGAAGATATTTGGGATTTTTCTGGAAAAAAAAAACAAAAAAGTTTAAAAACTTAATTCAGTTGAAAATAAAAACGAAAAAATATTTCCTCTACATAATCGTTGGTAGCTTATGGGGCTAATCCAACTAAGGTCGGACGAATTCTCTCCCCGTGAGTCTCGTGAGCTCTATCTGATATTTTTTTATCACGGGTCCTAGCAATAGTGCCTAGTGCTTCGCTGAATCTACCACCGGATCGGAATCGCAACCCACTGAGATTCAACGAGAAACTCAGGAGACTGTGTCAATAGGTTAATTCCTTGGTCGAACACGACGAGTTCTAAGAAAACGATGACAAATATTTATCGTAATAATTTAAAAACAAACTCGTATTGATATTAAGAAACAAATAGAATAAAGTAATGAAATGGAATTTGAATGAACTCAATTAAAATAAAATGTTTGAAAATTGGGCAGTGTACATTTTTTTCACATAGTTTATTACTTTTTACAATATGATTTTATATGTCGCTACTAAATCCTCATTTTCATTCCACTAAAGGTCCAAAATAATTTTTAAACGGTCAAGAATTTATACTTTACGTAAATAAAAACTTACCAAGTGAGCCCCATAAAGCAAAATAATGCTTATTATTAAATAGTAGATAAAGACAAGTATAGAGTAAGAAAATGATAGGTATAGAGAAAGCGCGTGGTGCTCCAACTCTTCTTGTGTGTGCTCCGTGCTTGGGCTATCCTTATTATTCTCCACAAACGAAGCCACTCGGTAGATCAACCAGGAAATTGAAGCTAGTGCTACACAAGAGATTATCTGTGAAATATTAAATGATCTGTGTAAAATGGCTCCAATTATTCCTTTCTTATTAGAATTTATTTACACTTGTGACTGACAAACTGCAGTCGGTGTGTCCTACGGGCTTGAAATGGGTTTAAGTTTTGGTCATTATTAATGAACGTCTTTATGAAAGCATGAAGCCGGTACAAAAAGGGTTTTGGACTCAATTACACATACGAAAAAAGTCAAAATGAACGTTTGTATATTGCTAGAAAGTTTATTTAATAGATTAGTCGACAACTTAATATAAAAACAAACCACAAAGATCGATGATTTATGACCACGCCTAATATTATTATGAACTTCTTAGTCATTGATGATACACTAATCAGTATGGTATCGTGCTCTTCGAAAAATTTTACCTATTTTTTCCTACGTTGATATGATTGGGGACGCCTTAGACTTTTTGAGGTCGCGTACAGAAAAAAATACACATACTGAATCCTTTTGACATAGTCCTTTTGAGACGTTTGAAACAACTTTGAAATATCCAATATTTTTTTTTGTATTCTTACAGCCCACAGACCAATAACTAATAATATTAACTTAAATAATAATCATACCTGTAGTTCTTTCCACAACAGGAGTCATTCCTTACCATCTTCACCATAGCCTTAAATTAGTCAAACTCAAACAAAATCAACAATATTTTTATTGCTTAGATGGGTGGACGAGCTCACAGCCCAGCTGGTGTTAAGTGGTTACTGGAGCCCATAGACATCCACAACGTAAATGCCACCCACCTTGAGATATAAGCTCTAAGGTCTCAAGTATAGTTACAACGGCTGCCCCACCCTTCAAACCGAAACGCATTACTGCTTCACGGCAGAAATAGGCAGGGTGGTGGTACCCACCCGCGCGGACTCACAAGAGGTCCTACCACCAGTAATAAATGCCTGCCGAATCGTGAGGAAGTTTATGCAGGTTTAAGATAGCATACCATCACCCAACACACAAACATTAATATCAAGCAGTTAGCACTTGGCTTGCGCCCGTGCTGACATGCAATTACCGGCTCCGCCGAGAAGACAAGTCGAATAATAATAATAATAAAATAATAATAGGAAGCAATTACTTTAATAAAATGACTTTGCGATAGTAAATAACCGAACGACAACATCATCAAGGTTTCATATAAAAAAAAAAAAGTTTTGACATTAACATTGTATACATACAATCGAAAGATATCCGATTAATAACGATCCAATCCTCAAGGGTATGCAACAGCAGCATTTCGTGAATCTCGGCAAGTGGAACACCATCTTTAACTTTTTCAATCACAATTTTTTTTTTAGAAGCGTTTACAAAATTGTAATCTTAATTAAATGGGTGTGCTTTTTGGAAACACTAAATGTGATTTAGTTAAAGTGAATCAAGCTGACCGCGTTAAGACTACTTTATCGTGTATCTGATACGAGGTGATAATTCGAACCAATCAGGGACAAGCATCGACTATTTGATTATCGTAAAAACACATTTCAAATAATATTGCTCACTGCATTCATTACAGAGTTCTAATAGTACAGGGAATTTTAGCTTGTGAGCAGAAGGCCGTGTGGGTTTTATTTATCATGTATTATTCCTCGCGTTGTCTTTCTTATTACTGATGACGGTCGTGATTCCTCAGATGAGAGATTAATTTGTCTTTGACGATGCCCGTCAGCCTGTAGCGTATATATTACGTAATATTCTGTTATATTCTATTTCATCAGCCAACAGACGTCCACTGCTGGACATGGCTTCCACCAAGCCTCGCGACAAAGATCGGTCTTACACTTTCTGCATCCAGCGAATCCCCGCGAACCTCAATAGATCGTCTGTCCATCTTATGGGAAGCCTACCCACGCTAGGGATGATCGATATTCATCGATATTGAATAAACATCGATGTTTACCTGGAAAACTTCAATGTTCCTACATCGATTATTAGCTAGAAAACATCGATGTTTTAACATAGTTTTAATATCGATATTTTGGTTTCGATAACATCGATGTGTCAAAGAGAATAAAATATCTAAGGGTGGATGTACTTTCTAGCTAGTAAGTCCATAAGTAGTACAACTATTTTAAACTAGATGACACTGATTAACGTAATCGAAGTACGCCGTAGTACATATATTTTATGTATGTGAAATTAAGAAAATGTAAATTGTGACATGTGATGTCCGAGTCAAGTCTAATAATTAAACACTGCTTATAATCCGTAAAACGTAGTTTTAATTAATAAGCACGTATAATAAATAAAATAGACAGTTTTATTTCCCACCAAAAACATCGATGTTTTGCTATCGATGTTTATCGTACTTCGATAATTTTAAATCGATGTCAAAATGGATGTTTGTCTAATATCGATCCTCCCTAACCCACGCTACGTTTTCTGGTACGCGGTCGCCACCCATGAACTGTTCGGCCCCAACCGCCATACGTTCTACGATGGATAGAATAATATGGGCCAGATAGTCATCTCGTGCTAGGTGCTGTAAAACGCGACGAATGTATTTTACGTATGTAAAGGGTAGAGGTAAGGAGCGCCATCTTGTATAGAGGACAAGTTGAAAAAGTGTCCATCTATAAATAGCAAGTTATTGTTCGAAGACTCACCGAAATAACACTAGTGTAGGAAATGGAAATTATACGAATATAGCAGTTTCAAAAAGAGTGAAGTGTGGTAGTCTGTGGTGGTGCTGTTTTTTATATCTTTCCACTTGCTACTATGGCACCACCTTAATAGCCCTAGCACTAGTAATCTACCTCCGAAAACATTTGAAATCAGCGTCGGAACGGTACTTCGATAAGGAAATGCGTCATGATAATCACTTTATCATTGCTGCCGCTGACTACTCCCCTAATCCTGATCATGCAGAAGCCAGTCACCGTCGACGCCCTAGACACGTCCTTGCGAATGAAACAGATCCAATAACTCTTGCATTAGACGTAGTAGATTCATTCGCGAAGCAGCTAGTTGCTCTTGAGGTTGTTAGGTCTTCTTTGGAGGCGCTCGGGCAGCTGTTAGCAAATCCCACCCCTCCTGGTTGAGCATTTGCTCGCCCACCTGTCCTGGTGAAACTGGAAAGGCCTTCGGGCCAACAGTAATGCATCAATCATAAAATAAATTAATAAATCTATCGCCGGATCGGAACAGCGACCCACCGAGAAGATTTGGCGAAAAACTCAGTGGCCTGTCTCAATACTCTAGCTCGAATTCGAAGAGTTCGACGAGACCGGGACAAATGTTTATCGAAATATTTTTGAAGTGAAACTTCCTTATCGGCGTTGGAAAAAAATTTACCGTCACATTTTTCGGTTACGCGTCACTTTTTTCCGTTACGCGCCATCTTTTAATTAACGGCTGTATGTTCTGAAGTATGGATGCGCATTTGAGAAACCGACCTCATGTCTCAAGGTGGGTCACGGAATACATTTTGTAATTGCAATAATCCCAGGTAACCCACTTAATATCACGTGGACCGTGCTATTATTGTTATTACGTAAAATAATAGGAAGAAAAGTACCAGGGTATTATGATATCAAAGAGATGTATTATTATAACTTTACTCTGACGTACAGCCTTCTTTATTAATTAACGGCTGTATGTTCTGAAGTATGGATTCCGATTTGAGAAATTGACCTCATGTCTCCAGGTGGATTACGGAAATCATTTTGTAATTCCAATAATCTCAGGGAGCCCACTTAATAATATCACGTGGACCGTGCTATTTATTACTGTTATTACGTAAAATAATAGGAAGAAAAGTACCAGGGTATTATGATAGCAAAGAGATTTATTAATAATTAACGGCGGTATGTTCTGAAGCATGGTTTCGGATTTGAGAAATCGACCTCATGTCTCAAGGTGGGTCAAACTTCACGAACCTCAGGAACCCCATTTAACACCACGTGGACCGTGCTATTATTATTAATTTATAGGAAGAAAAGTACCAGGGTATTATGATATCAAAGAGATGTATTATTAAAATGCTGTAATAATCTTAGTAGCAAAAAGGTAAAGTGAAATAATTGTATTATTTGTATTCATGTCTATGATAATAAAATCCTTTTGTTTAAACTTTATCTAATTTAACTTTATTTAACCAATTTCTAGAAAGTTGCATGTAGATCATTTTTCGAAAAATAAGGCCATAAACAAGTTTCACTTCTTACGTGTGTACACTAGTACACGCACACATTTTTTTTTTTATAGTGCTAACTATCGTTTAATTTTCAATAAAAACACGTTTAGCACTCGGGGACTGTCGCGGTAAAGCTATTGCATAGCATTTTTTATCAACTTATGCAATTATTATAATTAAAAAATAATAATTTAATATTAAAACAATAATAAAATAAGACCACGCTATATTTGTAAACACAAAAGCAAAACATTAATTGTCCCCTTCACACTCATAAACTAGACAGCGCGAGAGAGAGATGGACAGACTGTTCATGATGCACATGCAGTGCGACGTCGTCACGCCGCGCGCTTATTCACAAACACTACACAAGCACGACATGGGAACGTATTGAACGCGAGCTACATGGTAGGCGGAGTGTTAGGTTTTATTTTCGTTACCGAATTTCTTGATTCGGTCGCCGCGCTCAAAGCCCGCTATAAAAGTTATGCAATAGCTTAAAAATATTCTAATGAATTTTTGCAAGTACAGTGTCTTCGATACTAAAACGCATATTTCATGACCGTACCCTTTACTTTCAACACAATTAAAATCATTTAAGTCATTTAGCAATACAATTTTACAATTCACATGACACATTAGGTATCTGAATTTTGTTGCACACGAAACTTTCGTAACCCAGTAAATAGTTGTAGTAGCTGTAAATCACGATGAACGAATAAAACTCTAAAACTGAAAAAGAAAAAAATACAAATTATTATTTTTAATTATTAATATTAGAATATATTAAAAAAATATAAATTAAATGTACAATTAGAAAGAACACTATATAAAAATAGATTGTCACTGGTGGTAGGACCTCTTGTGTGTCCGCACGGGTAGGTACCACCACCCAGCCTATTTCTGCAGTGAAGCAGTAATGCGTTTCGGTTTGAAGGGTGGGGCAGCCGTCGTAACTATACTGAGACGTTAGAACTTATATCTCAAGGTGGGTGGCGCATTTACGTCGTAGATGTCTATGGGTTCCAGTAACCACTTAACACCAGGTGGGCCGTGAGCTCGTCCACCCACCTATACAATAAAAATAAGGGTGCGTGTACTTATGTACGCGTGTAAGAAGTTATACTTTATTTTTCTTAAATTTATTCTTTTTTTTTAAATATTAAATAATTAATAATAAATATTTAACGTTAATAATTTAATAATATTTAGTATGAATTATATTAAATAATAATTTTGTCATTTATATTACTAAAAAATGAATGCTAATAACACTTTTTTTACGAGTTTTTACGAGTTAAATCCTTATTCCCATTTAATTAAAGCTTATAATTGTATCTCAAGGTGAGCAGTGGCATTTCGGTTTTAGCCGGCTATGACGCATAATGTACCTGGACTCAAAGTTGAACTGAATGAATAGCTACCTCCAAAACAAAAATATACATTACCTACGAAGAACAACATGGCCAGATACCATCCTATGAGAAGCTTGTGAATCAGGCACAGGGTGAAGAGAAATATCGTCTCAAATAGCCACGTTACAAAACGACATATTAGATACGGTTCAAATAGGCGAGATTTCTCCTGAAATACATTATTATTATTATTCCACCAAATACAGTAACAGCTTTTGCTGCCGTTGGTTCGAAATCTGTGTACATTAATTATATTATAACGGACGAAGACCACTCAAGACCAATCGTATAAAACGTACAGTACCCGACGACAAATATTGCACATCGACCGTTGGAAAGACCCAATCGGCTAATTTCGGCTTCGTAGAGCGTTGTCTCTGTCGCACGAAACACTACCAATCCGGTGCCTATTAGAGCCATACACTACTTCGTACGTACGCACTTCGGGTCCTTGTTAGAGCTGTATGCTACTTCGTACACACTTCTCCAGTCCGCGTGAAGTTGAAATAGCCCCTTGGGCTACGACGATTGGGCTAAGACGATTAGCTAGGGAAAAAAATCACTTCTAGAAGGACTGACAATCATCACGTAGGTAGTAATACAATTAAGAATTCGGTTTCCTGTCTCAGGGTTGATGGTGGCGTACACGTTTTGACGTCTATCCCTCAGACACAGCCCACTGAGTTTCTCGCCGGATCTTCTCAGTGGGTCGCGTTTC